GAAATGGAAACATGTCAGTAGAACCGAGGACCTCTGGGCTGGTTCCCGGGTAGAATGCCCACCCTCCCCACGACAGTCTGCCTTCCTCAGCGGCAGCCCTGAGCTGTGCTCAATGAATGTGCACATGACACGTGTGTGCACACAGCCCTCTCCACTAGCCTCTCACCTGGCCCAGCGGGGAGGACCTCATGCAGACCTGGTTCTAGGGGTCACTTGTCCCCAGTTTCCCTAGGAAGTGGCCAGAGCCCATGCAGGCCTCTGTCCGCAGAACGTCCTGCCCCTGCACCCCTCCGGGCCAGTTCCATCCTCCCCTCCTGCATCTGGGGGTTGCCTTCTCTGCTTTTCACTCTCCTTCTGTGAGCCCCTGTTCTGTTCCCTCATCAGTTCATTTTTGCCCAGAGCAAATCGCCATTTGTTTATACAATGGTGCAATCCGCATTTAGTGCACTTGGCACTCACTGCTCCTTGGAAGTTTTAAGGACCCAGGTCTTAAGAGGGTGTGGGTCAAACTCCCTGCCCCTCCTAGCCCAGGTGTGTGTGGGGTGGTGGTGAGCACACAGTTTGGCAGAGGGGCCCACTGGCCAAGGGGGTGCTGGAGGGGACAGGGACAGGGACAGGGATCAGCTGGTGAGGCCCTGGTCAGTACTGAGTCAGGGAACTGGCTGTCAGCTCAGACCAAAGAGGTTTGGAGAGTTGCCCTTCCTCTCCCACCACTGTCCTGAGGTTGCTCCAGGTGGGTGAAGGACGGCCATACCTTCTTAGGTGCCAGCCACCGCCGGGGGGGGGGGGACAGCAGTCCTTGAGCTGGGGCCTGAACTCCTGGGTCTTCATTTCTAACCTTCACTCAGAGCCATCCCATGGATGTGGTCAGCCACAGTTTTGCCGTCTGTGATGAGCCTACACAGCCAGTACCCAGGGCCCCGGCCTGGAGGTGACACCCTTCCATCTCCCTTGACTTCCCTGTGCCATTTGACTCTGGGCTCTTCTTCCCTGAAGGTCTGGGAGCAAGAGGGGTGGGGGCACAGGGAGTGTATTTGTTGCACCCCACCTTCCTCTCTGCCCTGTGGACTAGGCTGAAGTAGGGGCTCAGGCCACGAGCCTCCCGGCCCAGGACTGATCTCCTGTCCCCTGCTGTCACCCTTGCCTCCCTCATGCAACTTGGCAGGGCTGGAGTCGGGTGTTGGAATTGCACGGGGCGGCCACTCCAGTCTGGCTCAGCTCCCTTGGGTAGCAGTATGGAAACTGAGGCCCAGGAAGATAATTGATTTGTTCCCGGACTTCTACTGGGTTTGCGTAACAGCCAGACTTTCACAGGCCTTTTTCTTTCCACCTTCCTCGCTGGCACTGAGCCCTTCCCTCTGTGCTTACAGGTCCACAGAAGGCGACGTGATGCGGAGAAGTACTGGTCTGCGGGCTAGCTGGCCAGCATAGGCAGCTGTGTGGTCTCCTCTTCGTCTCTTAACTTCTCTCCTTCTCATCTGTCCGGCAGAAAGAGCAATGATTAGGTTTAGGAAGAACAGAAGAGCCTGTGTGTAGCTGCAGATTGATGAGTTGTTTTGGCTAAAGTTTTTTGGTTTAAAAAAATGAATAGACCCCAGATGGGTCAGAGGACAGATAAATGTCAATTTGGGGGTTCCCTTACCAGTGACCCCCAAAGTCTGGCCCCACTAGGAAGTGACCCAAAGGTGACAAAGGGGCTCATTCCCTAGAGAGTCACATGGGGGTGATTTGTTGGGGGCTGCAAGGAACATCTCGTGCCTTTAATCCCTGCTGTGGTGACTTGGACACCCCCCCGCCCCGCCTGTCCCCACCATCAGGGAGATGAAAGTTTGAGAGTCAGGGCACAGGGCTCCCTCTTTCTCCCCGCCATCCCTCCCCGTCCCCACCCCTGCAGAGGATGGGGTCTTCCTATGGAAGAGTTCCTACCCTGAAGCTCCCTGGTTTGCTCCTCCCCGTGGGGTCAGCCCCGGAGCATCCTTGCCTCCGTGGGGTGCCTGGCAGGGCAGAGGGGCCACCTCGCCGTGCCCAGCCGCAGCAGGATGGCGGGGAGGCGCAGTCCGGGGGAGCAGCGGCCCGGGCCGTGGCGCCCCCTGCAGGCTGTGGCGGGAGTGGCGCCTGTGAGGCCAAACCCTTGGGCTCCTGGACATGCAGTTTCCCCAGGACGCGGCCTCTCCACCGGCGACATCCCCATCACTGCCCTTTCTTGAAGCTCCCAGAATATTAAAAAAAAAAGAAAAGAAAAGAAACGGCTACCGAGCTGTGGTAAGCTTTAAATGTTTACTCTGAAGAGAGTAACGCTTTTCACACCCACACGGGGCGGTGTGACTGTGCTATTCATGAGATAACGGAACCTTAAAAAAACACACACAAAGCAAAACAAACCATAAATGCACAAAAAGCTGGAAATGGGTGCGAGTTTAAAGTTACTTGATGAGTGTGCCGTTTTTTTGTTGTTTGTTTTTTTTTATAAGCGTGCCATTTCTTTTTTGACCCCGTCTTTGTTTTCCTGGGTTGTACATTGGCTTCATTTGGGTGACAGTCAAGAGTGTAAGTCGGAGGGGGCCTTTGGGGACTTGGGGGATCCCAGGCCTCTCAGTCCTGGCCATGGGGTCTCCACACCTGGCGCTCTGGGGTTGCCACGTCTCTTTCCCGAGGCAGCCGGCAGTCGGGTGTCAGGTCCAACCGGGAAGAGCAGGTGCCCGGAAGTGCCGGTGGGATGGAGACCGGCGCGGTTAAGGTCGTGGGCTTGGTCCCCAGGTGGTGGGTCAGGTGGCTGCTGCCTCCACGCTGCCCCCTGCTGGTCGTCATGGAAATGGGTGGCATTTGGTCTAGAAAAGCAGTTCTCAAAGCACGGTCCTGGCATCTCTGGGGCTCCCCAAGAGCTTTCAGAAGGAGTCACAAAGTCAAAACTATTTTCATAATCAGAATAATAAGACTCTTGGTCTCATTCCTCACAGATAAACAGAAAATGAAAAGTTCACCGATATGGTTTCTGATGCCACATTGGAACTAGCTATTAAGAAACTACCATCTGAGTTTGGGTGCAGTATGAAAGAAAAACATTCACAATTGCCTAGGAAGGCTATCAAAATGCACCTCCCTTTCCCAACTTTCATACATATCTGTGAGAGTCTGGATGTCCTTCATGGACCTTAACAAAACAGCACGTCACAAAAGATGGAATGCAAAATTGGACATGTACATCCAGCCGTCTTTTGTTAAGCCAAACATTAAATTTGTAAAAATGTAAAACAATGTCATCCATCCTACTAATTATTTTTATCTTTAAAATATAGTTTTTTTCATAAACTATGTAAGCTATGTTAGCCTCTAATTGGTTTATTTTTTCTCTTTTTTTTTCTAGTCAAGTGAAGCAGTGAGGGGGTTTATTATTTTTAATGAATTTTCTAAATTTCTCAGCTTTAATTTCTAATATTAATAGATATAGCCCATATATTTTTGGGTCCTCAAGAATTTTTTATATCACCTTAATGAGTTGTAATTCACATACCATAAAACCCACACTTTTAAAGGGGTTTTAGTATATTTACAAAATTGTGCAACCATCACCACCGTCTGATTCCAGAACATTTTTATCACCCTAGAAAGAAACCCTGAACCCATGAGCAGTCACTCTCTAAGCTCCTAACAACCGCTCATCTACTTTCTATGTCTGTAGATTTGCTTATTCTGGACACTTCATGTAAATGGAGTCATACACTCTGTGGTCTTTTGTGTCTGGCTTCTTTTCACTTCGCATAGTGTTTTCACAGCTCCCCCATGTCATAGCGTAGGTATCGGTGCTTCGTTTCTTTCCGTGGCCAAATAATATCCCACTGTAAGGATACAGCACATTTTATCCATTCGTCAGTTGATGGGTATTTTGGTTGTTTCTGCTTTTGGGGTGTTAGAAATACTGCTTAGAACATTTGTGCACGGGTTTTTGTGAGGACATGTGCTTTCAGTACTCTTGGGTCTATACCTAGAATTGGAGTTTCTGGGTCATATGGTAAGTCTATGTTTAACATTTTGAGGACATGTCAAATGGATTTCCAACCTCAGTGTTTTATGTTTGAGTGTAAAGGGGTCCTGAGTTTGCAAACCACTGGTCTAGATGGGGTTAGATGAGAGTATAGCCCCTTGTCCTTGCTCTGGGACTGAGATACCCTCAAACTCCTTTCTCTCTCCCCTCCTTCCTTTTTCTCTCCTGCAAAACACACACACACACACACACACACACACACACACTCAGACTCACTGACTTTGGAATACATAAGCAGCAACCTCATTAATAGAGGATCAAAGAGTTGGTCCTGTTCTTGGTAGCAAGGAGAAAGCCAGCTAAGCTAGACTGTGCACAAGTTAAGTCATCAGGTGGTTCTAGAGTAGGAAATCTTCCCTGTAAGATTCCTGGGTGTTGCCGTCCTCATTGCAGTCCCTGTGGACGGTGCCCCTTGGTATTGTGCCAGGTGCAGTTGTGCCAGGTTCTGCTAGCAGAACCCATGTGCTTGGGGCCGCCGTTCAGATCTCCCCAGCTTGGGAGCAGTGTAGGGTTTGCCCAGGCTTCCTGGCCATCTGCCCCTGGCCCAGGCCCCTCTTGCCTGGAGATGTGCCCAGTACAGCTGTGCTGGGAAGGAGGGTATCAAATGCCCTCCAGGGCTGGCGAGCTGAGTGGAACATTACCGAGGGCGTGCCTCTTCTCTGCTTTCTGATTCTAACCTTTTGATGTCCCGCCAGTGACATTCATTCCTGTTGTTTAGCCACGTGAAGCACCTAGTCACACCTCCCAGAACCATGAGCCTTTTGAGAAGGAGCTTTGAGGGGCAGCGTTTTGCTGGAGGAGTGATTCCAATGGTGCGATTCCAGGTATCAGCAGGGGATGGCGAATGGAGACAGGTTGAAAGTATCAAGTCTCTGATGCCTGAGTTCAGAGGAGCCGTCTGCCATCTGCACCCCACCCAGTGACGCGCTCTCTTTCTTTTTCCCTCTTCTCATCTCAGATGTGACTTCCGCCCTTGGCGGGGTGCCCCGAGCCATGGCTGACACCATCTTTGGCAGCGGGAATGATCAGTGGGTTTGCCCCAATGATCGGCAGCTGGCCCTGCGAGCCAAGTGAGTACCCCCTAGGCCTTCCCTCCCGCCTCCCTCCCTGCTTTCCCCCTTTCTTTGGCAAGATTCATTCCTAGGGACTCAGAAAAGGGATGTTTGGAGACAAGTGCCTATCGAATGCACGCCTCACCCCAGGCCCTGAACTAGACACTCGGCAGCCATTCACTCATTTAACCACCAGGCAGAATTTACCCCCATTTTCCAGATGAGGAAAATGAGGCTGAGCTCCTTGCTCATGTGAGTGGCAGGGCTGGGACCCACACTTGGGTCTGCCTGGCTCCCAGGCCTGCGTTCTTTCTATCCCAGTAGCTGCAGGGACCCAAACCATCTCATTGGCTTTCTCTCCTGTCACTGAGCCTTAAGTCCAAGAGCCCCATAAGAAAGGGAGCCCTTGGTCTTGGGATGCCCTCTTCACAGACAGGACAGAGCAAAGGTTTTTGTAGGAGCGAAGAGCCACCCCTTGGGCGGAAGCACGCTGCCAGCCCCAAGCTGTCCTGGGGTCTTGTCCATGTTCTCCTTAGAGTCTCTAGTTCCCTGGTTCCAGTCTGTTCCCTTGGAGGTCCCAGTTCTCCTTTTGTCCCTCAGCTCTGGGCAAGTCAGGTCATCTCCCCCCACTGTCCACTGTGGCTGGAGACGGGGGGCTCTCAGATGCCTCCCCTGCCCTCCAGTCCCTCCCCCGGCTCCAACAGGCTCAGGGGTCCCTGGCATCTGATGAGAGTGCCCCTTCCTCTGCCCCTTCCTCCGTGCCAGTTACAGGAGCCAGCATGTCCCAAATGGGACCAGATTCAAGAAATTTGCAATTATATGTTATGAGCCTGCAGGGGACAGAGCTGAAACATCAAAGGGGGATAGAAAAATTAATCCCACACGCCCAAGAATTGTGGAGTCACGCATGATTTGCAGGAATCTTTGCACTGCAATTAATTTGTCCTCTTTGGCACGATGGCTCAGCTCCCTTCGGCTCCCCGTCCTGCCCCCGCAGGGAGAGTGACCACGGATGAGATCGGTGCCCTTTCTCCCTCTCCTCTGCCGCCAGGCTGATGAAGCGTCCTCCCGGGCGGGCGGGGACGCCACCTGTGCTCTTGTACAAGGGCCTGGCGGGACCCCTCCTGGCCCCACAGTGTTCCCTTCAGTTCTCCCTGCCCTTGTCAGCAGCAGCCCAAAGCTGTTGTAGCACCTTTTAGAAGAGCGAATGCTTTTATCTCCTCCCCTGGGTGTGCTGCTTTGTAATGCCCGACACAGCCTCCACAAAGGACAGTAGTGCGATTCCCCAGGGCTGCAGAGCCAGGAGCTGTGCCCCGTGGGACCCTCCCCCAGCTGCAGCCTGGGGCTCCCCTCTAGCCTCCTCAGGAAGACGTTTTCTAAACCCCTACTATGTGCCAGGCACTGGTTGTGCAGCAGCCAATAAGACCGACATGGTCTCTCCTCTTGAAGCACAGATGGGAGAGGTGAGCAGTATGCAAATAATTACCCACATGCAGCTGCTTTGACAGTGGTAATAGGTAGGGGGGTGGGGGACTAACCTAGTCTGGGGGTCAGGAGAGGCTTCCCCGAGAGTGTGGAGAGTGTGATACTTACACGTTGAGACCCAGAGGAGGGGTACATGTTAGATGGAAATATCGGGGAGGAGTTTCCAGGCAGAAGGAGCAGCATGTGCAAAGGCCCTGAAGTAGAAGGGACAGGGGGTGTCAAGGGCTTGACAGGTCAGCGTGTCTGGTCAGTGCAGAGAGAGAGGGGCGAATGGCCTGAGAGGAAGGTGGAGGGGTGGACGGGGGCCAGAGAGGGCAGGGCCTGGTCCTCCAGAGACTCACATTCCAGCTGGGGAGATGGCAGGTCCCACGTTGCCTGAGAACAATGTTTAAGCCCAGAGGTGGACATTTGCCCAAGCCTTCTAGGAACTCTGACAATGGATTCTTAACCCGTTTTGGAAGGGATCGAGGAAAAGCCTCTTAGTGAAAGTCATGTCTTAAAAAGTCTTAGGAGTGAGCAGGTGAAAGAGGGTTTAGGGAGAGGAACAAGCGCCCCGGGTTGAGGTGACAGCACGTGGCCTAGAGCACAAGGGAACCAATAGCATTTGGTGAGAGCAGGGGAGCAGCGATGAGGCCGCCGTGCAGGGGTGCGTACAGATGGGTCTCCCAGGTGCGGCCGCGCTGCAGGCCCTTCCCTTCTGTGTCATGCGGCCTCGGGTCTGCCTCCCTTGCTGAGTGGGGGGACCTTGCCTGCTAAGAGGCAGCTGTGGCCACGAGTGGGAGCTGGTCCCTGACCTGGAGGGTGGCAGGGCCCGCGGGAGGCCAGATGAGAGGACATACGCGGTTGGGGCTTGCTGGCTGATCCGATGGAGGCAGGGAAGCGGTGTGGGGGCTGCCCTGGGGGAGCCTGAGATCCTCCCAGGCAGGGCTGCTGGCGGCTGCTGCTGGCCGTGAACTCCCCGCTCAGGGCTCGGCCTCTGGGTCGGTGTGAAAGCCCAGCCGTTGGGGGCTGGGCGACCCTCTTACCTTTAGCTGCCTCTCTGCGCTCCACACCTCGTTTCCTCTGAAAAATGGGAGGCCTGCCTTGCAGGACGTCTTTGGGGCCTTGGGCTGGTGCTGGCCCAAGAGCGAGCTCAGCAGGATTCTTGCCCACCAGGACAGGTGTCGGTGTTGGGGCTGGTGCTTGTGCCCTCCCTGCCGTGGACTCCTGGGGCCCCTCCTTTCTCCCCACTAGCTGGGGGTGGGCGGGGATCCCCTGAACATAGGGATCCTGGTTTCCAGTCCCCTTCTCCTGGCCCAGGTGTGTCCTGGCCAATCACAGACCACTTTAGTCTCTGAAATGCACAGGTGGAGCAAACCAGCAGGCAGGGGTGGGGAGGGGGTGCTGCTTTTGAGGCCTGAAAGCCCTGAGTGTGTCCCGCTCACGGGAGGAGGCAGAGGCTGTCTGCTGCGGTGCTAAGACGGCGCCCCCGTCTTCGCCAAGGCCCAGTTGCTGGTGGATGGCAAGGTGGCACTTGGAGCCCGAGCCTGCCCCGTCTTCAGCCCGCACCCCCTTTCCCCAGCACCAGCACCTGGGCTGCCCACAAACTGTTCCCCAGGGGGGCTTCGTAGCCACAGTGAGGGGCGCCCGGGTTTGTGTTAGGGTGGCCTTCACGCAGTCTGTGTTGTCCTCTCTCCAGGCTGCAGACGGGCTGGTCCGTGCACACCTACCAGACGGAGAAGCAGAGGAGGAGCCAGTGCCTGAGCCCGGCGGAGGTGGAGGCCATCCTGCAGGTCATCCAGAGGGCGGAGCGGCTGGACGTCTTGGAGCAGCAGAGGATCGGGTGAGGGCCGGGCCCCGGCTGGCCGGAGCGAGCTCAGGAGGACGACAGTGCAGGCCGGGCGGCTGAGAAGCTGGCGCTCTGGGTCCCAGAGCTGTGTTTCACCTCTGGGAGTGGCTCAGGGGGTCACTGGCTCAAGCTTTCCCCGGCTTCTGTGTCTGAACGCCCCCGAGTGCAGCCCGGAACCCTTCCGAGCCTCAGTGTACCCCTCTGTAAGGTGGGGCTAGCGGCTGAGACCGTGGGGGTGCGCGTGGGCGTGGTGAAAGGCCTTAGGGGCTGTGGGCTGTGCGCACGGTTGGGTCCGCGGTGGTTCAGCCAGGAAGGGATTCAAGCAGAGTCTGACCCGAGGATCAGCCCCCAGAGGCTCCAGCAGGAGGCGCTCTCCAGCTTGCCGTGAGCTCTTGGCCCTTGGCATCCAGAGCTGACCACAACTCTGCTTCCCGCGTCATCCTTGTGTGCCTTTTTTTTTTTTTAATTATAAAGCAATTCCTATTTCCTAGAAAATCTGAAAAGCACAGAAAAGCACAAGCAGGAAAACAAAACATGCGGCGCATGGCAGGAATTAATGTGATTCTGGTCTTCTTGTCCTGTATTTTATCTTTTTCTAAAAAAATCAGACATTGTAGAAAGGCACAGTTTTGGAAAGTGAAAGTACCACTGTAGAGATCAGCTGTGCTAACGGTTTGCTGTGTGCGCCTCAATTATGGAGACATATTACTATCATTTTGGTACAAAAGGGTTTGTATCAGATTAGTTTTGTTACTATTTTGCTTTTTTTCATCTGGCCTGGCTGGGGCCCTGCCGTCTCACAGACCTGTGCCCCGACAGCCCTGCCAGGCTCTCTGCTGGCCAGGCTCCCCCAGGAGGGCGCACAGGGACCTGGGGGCGTGCTCCATGGCGGCCTCCCTCGTGCCACGGAAGCGTTTGTGGCCTCGCAGCCGCGGGGCTGCCGTCTTTGCCTTTCCTGTGCCGCCTCCGGAATCCGGCACAGGGTGTGAGGGCTGGGCTTGGCGGGCTGCAGGGTGACCCAGGACAGTGCCTGGACTTAATCGTTCAGAGGGAGGAGGAGCGTCCTGTGTGTTCGTATGAGGCATGGAGACACAGGCTTGTACTGGCAGAGGGTCCCCGAGGGCAAGGGGTCATGCCAGGGCTGAAGCTGGGTTTGTCCCCAGGCCCTGTGGTCCCTGGGTGAGGGACAGTGACCCCTGTGGAACCCAGAAGCGCTTGCTGGGGGGGCGGCGTGTGCGCAGAGGCAGCCTCGTGGCCCAGTCTGCTCTCCTGCAGCCCGGCGGCACCTCATCTCCTCGGGGACGTGTGGGGCAGTGAGGAGGGGACCCTGGCTCCACCTCCTGGGAGCTGTGTGCCCCTGGCAAGGGACTGCATGTCTCTGAGCCTCAGTCTTCTCATCTTTAGAATGGGGAAAATAGCATCCTCCTCCCGGGGGTTGTGTGGTGAGAGGAGATCAGGTGCCCATACTTCATCCTTCATTCATTCAAGAACTTACACCAGGTGTCCGTATTGGGTACTAGGAATTTAGTGGCCAACAAAGCGGGACAGTTTCACAGAGGTTGTTGTGTAACCAGGTTACAATGTGAGGGGTGGCCGTGGGCCCCAGGAGAGTCACCTACCCCGGGCTCAGTGGGGGGCAGGGAAGGCTTTTGCATACTTGACATCTCGAGGCTTCCAACAGGAGCTGTTTTTTCTTTCCTCCTCCGGCTTCTCCGTCTGCTAAGTTGTGCCAACCAGAAGCCTCGACATCATCCTCGATCTCTCTCTCCCCTCTCCCGGCCTTGGATCCCTCGAGGCTGCCTCTGAAATGCAGCCTGTCCCGTCCCCATCCTCCCTCCCTTGGACTCCCCCCCCAGCCTCCCCGGCTTCCTCCCTCGCCTCCCCTCCCTGTTACCGCAGCTTCCCGCAGAAGCCAGAGTGAGTGTTAAAAATGTTGCATGGCTCAAATCACTCCCCTCCTTAAAACTCTTCAGGGGTTTCACGTTGATCTTAGAGAAAAATCTAAATTCCACTGTGTGACCTACAAAACCGACACGTTCTGGCCCTTGCCTGCCCCTCCAGCTGCACGTTATCTCGGCCTCCCTGCGGAGGTGCCCGCCTCCGTGCTGCTGTGCCGAGCCCTTCTCAGCCCCAAGCCTGGCCCCTGCTGTTCCCTCGGCCTGGGCTGCTCCCGGCTCTTCCCTGGGTTTGGGCCTGTCGTTCCTCAGCTCTCCCTTCCCGTGTTCTCCGAGAGCCTTCGCTGGTCGCCATCGAACGTGCCCCTGCCCCCTCAATCTCTCTGCCCTCCCTGGCCCCCTCGACTTTCATCTCATAGTGCTGCTCCTGCCTGCCATCAGCTTGCTTGTTTACTTGTTTATGGCTTTTTTTCCCTTATTGAACGTAAGTTCCATGAGAGCAGGGACCGTGTCTGTCTCTGGCTTCTTTGCTGCAATACCCCAGTGTCTGGCTATCAACGGCGCTCGGTTCGTAGTTGGCAAGTGGAGGAACCATTGGGGGCTAGTCAGGGGAAGGAGTGGGGCAGGGAACACTACCCCACAGGAGGGCAAGTCGCAGGGGACATGGTTGGGGACACAGGGCGGCTGTGCCCAGCAGCGGTGGGGATGGAGACAGGAAGCGCGTTCCCTCTGACTCCACGCCCTGTGCTGCAGGCGGCTGGTGGAGCGGCTGGAGACCATGAGGCGGAACGTGATGGGGAACGGCCTCTCCCAGTGTCTGCTCTGCGGGGAGGTGCTGGGCTTCCTGGGCAGCTCGTCAGTGTTCTGCAAAGACTGCCGGAAGGTAAGGCCCTGCCGTTCCGGCTACCCAGCCTGCGCCAGCTCTGCCGCTCTGTGGCTTTGCAGCCCGGCTCCCTGGAGAGTGTGTGTGCGTGTGTGCTCGTGCACGTGGTATCCTCTGCTGCTTGGCAAGAGAGGCTAGGGCCTGCAAATGAGATGACCTGGCTTCTAGGGCCAGTTCTGGGAAGTGGACCTCTGGGTCTCCCAGCCTGGGACTGAATTCTGAGCTCAAATAGCTCTTCCACTAGCTGGATGAGCTCAGAAAACGTGTTCAATATCTCAAACCTCATCTTCCTCATCTGTGAAATAGGGGTAACGATACCATGTCCATCAGAGATTATTTATTATTATTTAATCCTATGAGGATTAATGCAAAGCTCTTAAAACCTTGCCAGGCGCGTGAGCACTCAATAAATGGTATTATTTAATGGTTGTATTAGATAAGCAGTATTTTCGTCAGAGCCGAGCAGTAAGCTAGGATCACACTTCCTGTTCTCTTGGTCTGCTCTCTTGATCTCTGGTCACTGGAAGCTGAATGATCTTTGCAGCAAGATCAAATAGATTTTCTCTGTTTCTTTTACTAAGTTGTGCTATGTATTGTTTTAGTAATATATTGAGTCCGAGACTTAAGTGTGACTTTCGGTTTTTCCTGGAGTTTCTACATACCCTTATTTTTCTTATTACTCAAAGAGTAATGATCCTCAAGATTATTTAGCATCTCAATTTTACTCCCTATCACATGGGGGCTGGCTTTTTTCGCCTCCTGGCAGAAGCCCTTCTAGATTCTCATTCCTGCCCCAGCCTAGACTGGTTGCTGCACAGCTGTTATCATGGGACTTCCCTTTGCTGGCCTCCTAGATTAGGGAGACCATTCCAGAGACACCACGTCTTCCTCTTTTTTGTCTTCACCCTAGTTTTGTTGGAACCCATGCTCAAGTAATTTCCATGTGCCAGTTGCTGTTTTAAGCGAGTCACAATAGTGAAGACAGAGGAGGAAGCTTCTCTCTTGAGATGCCATTGGGTCAGGGAACTGAAAAACAAGTAAAGATCAAATACATAAGATGACTTCAGGAAGTAATAAATTCCGGAAAGAAATAACAGAGGGGGGAGGATGGGGGGTTGGGTGGTAAGGGTTGAGAGGACCATAAAAGATGGAGAGAAGTCAAAGAAGTAAACATGGACTTGGGACATCAAGGCCATTGGCAGCCGAGATGAGGGCGTTCTCAGTGGCATTCAAAAGCCGGATGAAAAAAACAAGGTGTGAAGAGGTTGATGTGCCCAGTTAATAGGTGGGAAAACCAGGATTTCAGTTATGGGGATTTTTTCCCCTGCACTATCACAGGTGGTGAACTGCGCTGAGGAATGTGGATTGATTGGTCCAAGAACCACGGAGGGGTAACAGGTGTCAGTTGTGCTGGCTCCTCCTTAAACCCGCCATGGGCCCTGGACTAGAGGCCACTGTGGGTGGCAGGCACGGGGACTTACTTGGGAATGTCTTCCTCCCAGGACATGGGTGGGTGGGGCTATGTTTTGTGACTTCCACCCTGGGGGAACGGGACCCCGCAGCCCATTATCTCCTTCTGCCTCTCAGCCCCACAGTTGCTGGAACTGTTCCAGATTTCTGGGGCCATGAGGAAGGGCAGAGCCTCATCTGCCTCTCTTGGGAAAGCCCGGGCCCGTGCCCCGGGGGCAGGCTGCCACCGCCCCGGGTTGCTGCAGGGTGAACGCAGCTGCTCCCGGGAGGGCAATGTCCTAGGCAATAGCGGCAGGTGCGGGGGGGAACCCAGCCGGATGTGGGGTTGCATGGCAGTGTTCTTCCAGCCACTCTCACCACCCCTCTCCCCAGGGTACCCTGGAGCGCTGGGCGGGGCTGGGGGACATTTCCAATGAAAATGGTTCTTATTTTGCAGCAGGCTGAGGTCGTGGTCCTGACCCGGGCCGTGAGGCGGAGGAGCCCCGTGGGCTTCTGAGATGACTTATTTCAGGGTAAAGGTGGGAAGAGAGGGTACTAGGTGGGGCCGCAGCCAGATGATGGGCATTTTGGGGATTTTCTTCATTTGCCTTTAAGAAGATCATGCCGTCCATTTATTCATTCACATTTATTCGCTGGTTAAACAACAGAGGGCCCAGCGCGTGCAGGCGCGGTTCTCGGTGCTGGCGTTGCCATGAACGAGGCAGACCAAGCCCTGGTTCTCATGGAGGCTGTTTTCCAGGAGTGGGAGGAGAGAGACAACAAACAAATGAATAAACATGTTGTAACGTCAGGTGGGCTGAGGGCTCTCCGTTGAATTGAAACAGAATGATGGGAGAGCGCTCAGGCAGGGCGTCTCTGAGCTCAGCCTGAACACAAGCAAGAGGCCGCCCCAGGAAGATCTGGGTGGAAAAGCATTCCAACCAGGGGGAACAGCAAGCAGGAAGGCCCTGAGGCAGAAAGCATGTAATGTTCTAGGACATAATAAAAGCATCTGGGGGAGAGGGGGCAAGAGGTGGGCACAGCCTGTCACACACAGCTTCCTAAGTCAAGGGCAGGTGCTGGGATTTTCTTGTAAGTTTAACGGGTACCAGTGGAGCGTTCAAAGCAGGGGTGCAGTTGATCCGGTATGTGTTTTTAAGAGGCATCCCTCGCTGCCGTGTGTCGCGTGGATTGCAGGGGTTCATGGAGTGAAAGCAGGAGAGAAGTTAGGTGGGGATGGCTGTGGTTGGGGGGTGGGGTGTCGCACAAGGCAGCACAGGGTCAGAGGCCATTTGCTAAGAGAGGGCATCTGTCTCTTCAGTGCATGCTCAGGAGATGGAGAAGAATTCGGGGGTGGATGAGGGTCCAAGGACGGAGAGAGAGAGAGTCCTGTGTTGCCAAGGCAAGAGGTCACTTGGGCCACCCTGCATGGCGAGGGGCTTGCCAAGTGAGGACCGTGCCCACGCAGATGCCACGCAGCGCCTGGGGCTCCGACCAGGGCTCACCCGGCACTCCCGGGAGTGCCGCCCTGCCCCTGGCCACAGGGACCCAGGAGGGCCAGCCTCCTGCATCCCCTGGCTGCAGCGTCATGGGGCGGCTGTGCTCAGACTGTAGGGCCGGCTGGACTTGGCTGGAGGGCCTGCCTCGGCCATGGCAGAGTGACCTCATACAAGTCACTTAACCTCTGTTCCTGGGGCCTCTGTCCCTTCATCTGTGAAATGGGCCGACGGAGCTTCCTCCACCGCTGGGTGGGGGCGAGAGTGGTTAAGTTTGTGCATGTTGTTCATGTTGTTAATGTAAGTCCACTTCCGGGCTCGCCCTGTTCAGACTGTGCACGTGATACAAAGGAGGGAGCTGATGGCCCCCCGTATCTCAGCTGCGTCTCAGGCAGCCCAGGCTGCCGTAACAAAATACCACAGGCTGGGTGCCTTAAACAGCATTTGTTTTTCGTGGTTTTAAATAAAGGCTGGAAAGTCTGAGATCAAGGGGTGTGTTGGCCGATTTGGTATTAGCGAGGGCCCTTCCCGGCTCTCAGACATCTGCCTTGTGTGGCAGAGGGGAGCTCTGGTCTCTCGCCCTCTTATACAGACGCTGACCCTGTCGGGTCAGGGCCTCCCCTTGCGACCTCACTTAACCCTGGTTACCCCCTAAAGACCCTCTCTGCAGACGCAGTCACGCAGGGCCCAGGGCTTCAGCACAGGCACGTTGAGGGGACACCATTCAGCCCCTAGCGCCCATATTCTCCTTAGAATTCATGTTTTTCTTAAACTTGAAATTGGAGCTCCCACAGTTAGTCCTGACATTTTCAGTAATTTATATAAAAGCCTCCGGGAACCTTTGTAGCTCTCCAGGATTGGATGTCCTGAGCCAATAAGAAAAACCCTCGGTTTCTGTGCAAGGTACTTATGTAGCGCTTGCTTATTCAGCCCATCGTGTGTGAATGCTGGGTGGGGGAATGTAAAAGGAGAGGGGTGCAGAATGGCCCCCCGGGGCCTAGCGGTCAAGGTGGGCAGATGGTGTTCTTTAGAGTGATACCCACTGCGGCTGGGACCAGGGCTCTCAGGGCTGAGAGCAGCCTGGAGGGCTGCCTGGAGGAGGTGGCCCCTGAAGGCCGGGCAGCTTCTGCAAGGCTGAGAACAGAGCAAAGGACATCTGGGGAAAGGAGCACAGCACAGGCCGAGGCGCATGTCAGGAAACGGGCTGGCCAGGTGCCTTGCTGTGAGGATGCAGGCCTGGGGCCAGGGACACGTGAGCTGAAGAAGGACTCAAGCACGAGACAGCAGACTTGACTTAGGAGCAGCAGGATGGAGAAGGGGAGCGGTGGGGTGTGCTCCAGCTGCCTCCCACGGTGGTGAGAACCTGGGAACTGGAAGACGTGGGGTAGAGCCGAGGTCTTTGGGAAGCTAAACTGTAGGGGCCTGTGAGCGGGAAGAGTCTTCTGTCTTTGAGCTGCAAATGGGCAGGTCTCTAGGGCCCCGAACCCCCTGGGAGATGATCACAGAGGCTCTGGCACCCTGGGGGCCCCTCTTCCAGGAGGTGGTGCATTGGAGCTGATGCCTGGAGAATCAGTGAGGCCTAGACGGGGAGCCCCTGCAAACTTAGAACTCATGAAAATCAGCAAGAAAAAATCAAATAACCCTATTAAAAAGTGGGCAAAGGACTTGAACAGAAACCTTTCTAAAGAAGACAGAAGAATGGCCAACAAACATATGAAAAATGCTCAACATCTCTAATCATCAGGGAAATGCAAATCAAACCACAATGAGATATCACTTAACTCCAGTGAGACTGGCCTTTATCAAAAAGTCTCCAAACAATAAATGCTGGCGTGGATGCAGAGAGAGAGGAACACTCCTACACTGCTGGTGGGACTGCAAACTAGTTCAACCTCTGTGGAAAGCAATAAGGAGATACCTTAAAGCGATACAAGTGGATCTACCATTTGATCCAGCAATCCCATTACTGGGCATCTACCCATAAGATCCAATGACACTCTACAAAAAAGATACCTGCACTCGAATGTTTATAGCAGCACAATTCATAATTGGAAG